CAGTTGAATCACAAGGACAGTGTAACACAGAGCAGAAGAGTCATGGGTCCTCCACTGGTATTATCAATGTATCATACATAATATGTGGTATTATGGATTGGGCATCATGGTTTAACCCCAGCCAGCAATGAAGTACCACACAGCTGCTCGCTCACCCCAACCCCATCAGGCAGAGGGGAGGAGAACTGGAAAAATAAGGAGGTGCAGCCAGACAGAGGACTAGAGAAAACAAGTTTCCTCCCAACCTATGTTGACAGAAATAACTATTTAGAAAGACAGCTGTCTATTTGTAGTGTAATCATGATCCAAACACACACATTCACAGTAAAAGCAAATCGTAAGTGATCGCTATTTGTGCTGTACATAAGTGATTCTAAAACCCAGACTTCAACATGCATTCAGGTAACAAGATGATTTTGAACTACAGAACCGACATTTGGCTTACCCTCATTTGGTGCAGAACATTTTTTTATTTCCTAAGGGAGCTAGCTCAGTATTGTATGTCATGAAGTCTTGTTCTGATTTGGCACGTCACAGATGTCTAACGTGCTTTTCGCATATCAAGTGTTCTGAGCCACTACACCACTTGCCATCACATCCGTTAAAAATCACGTATCCTTGCAACTTAGGAATGTCATTGTGTGCAACATAAAAATATAGAGAAATGGAAAGATTCCTCTCCTGTTCCCATTAGATATTTAATCCTATTCTCAGCAGAAGACAGAAAGCCTGACTCAATGGAAAGCATTAATTTATACTTTCCATTGACTGCTTTATAGAGTTCAGAACAAATGTGAGGTGTAGCTGAAAAAGGTTTTCAGACAAAATTCAGAGCTTCTGCATCTCTCACGTTTGTGTAAAGCAAAATACAGCTTTAGAATTACAACAGAAATGGCTGGGTATTTTTTCTGTCCATGATTTAAAGAAATTTGTGGTATATATGCATTTTTTATTCTTCATATACTTATTGAAATAATTTCAGAATCAAGACAAGAAGTGACTGTTCACAGGATCTGTATTTTTTATCTATGTCATTAATGGATTGCCTAAAGACATCTAAAATTAATTAATGACTGCCATATCACATTAACCTACAGTATAAGAAAAAGGCTGCTTTTAAATAAAGCTGCACAAACAATACCAAAAGAAGTTAGCTACAGCATGTAAGCACAAATGTAAACACAGCAAAATCCCAGTAAGAGACAGGCTTAAAGGAGTATTACATTTTAATTCATCAGAACATTCAGAGATCACATACAGGGAAAGTAAGTATCAGGAGAGAAATAAGAAATCCAGTGAGCTACAGAGTACAACTCCACTATATGGTCTAGCATTAACAGCCCCAAGTGAGGAATAGTACATAGCTGATTACCAGTTTTATAATCCCTACATACTTCCTATGCATATCTAGCGTGTATAGAAAGAAGCAAACTTGAATTGTTTCCCTTATCCTCAAACTTCGGAAAGAACTTATCTGGTTTAAAAAACTGCATACTCTTAATGTGGCTGACAAGGTGAAGAGATTTGTTCAGTTCTTAATGCTACACACCATTACAAATTTAAAAGATTTTTGGTGCTTAGGGTCTTGTCACTGTTCTTGTGTGTACCAAAGCTACTTTGGCTGAAAGGGGGAGTTGGGAGTATTTTCTCCTAGACAACCTGCCTGGCAAGCTCTCACATCAGCACTTGCAGTTTAATAGAGAAATACCCTGAATATCATGAGGATCATTTCTGTTAATGCTTTGCACTGTGAAGTACCCATCTTTCTATGCATCTGAAAGTTTGTTTGTTGTTTCAAATTGCTGTGAACCTAACACTAACATTATGGTGGGGGGAAAAAACTAAACCAAACAACAGCTGATCTTTAAAATGCAAAGCTCAAAAAACACTTTACATAGAGGCACACACTCCAAAACAGATACTAGAATCTTTAATTTAGGCCAAAGGAGTTTTCTGTTTCATCCAGCTAATACTAATGGGTCCTTTCACAACCAATTCCTTATGACTAGATCTCTCTCCACATATTGCCTCCCTTAGCAGATACTGTGCAAGAACCAGCCTGCCTGCATGTACCTTCTCTGTGCCTGAGGGTTCTGTTCAAAACTCAGTCAGTTCCACAGGAATGTCTCATAATTCCTATGTTAGCTAATTAATCATAATATCTATTTTGAACATTTTTCCAATAGTGCAGATAGTTTTTCCCTTGACACGCAAAAGATACTTCAAAAATGCTGAAGTTCATTGGGCAAAGCCAAATAAAACAATCTGTCTAGACAACAAAAATATCATTAAGAATGAAAACAAAGGTAAATTACCAGAATGATACTTAATTTGAGTATAAATGAATAGCTTGTCCATTACGAATAAAATACCCTGCATTCTCCCTGGATGCTCCTTCTCCTTCTCCCTGAAGGAGAGAAGCAGTTCAAATCTCAAGTCGTAACTCCTTATAAAGCATACATGAAAAATCACAAATCATGCAAATACATGAATAAAATAAACAATAGAGCTCATTATCAGATTGATAAAGAGCAGACGTGAAGACAACCTACATATTGGGAACAGCAGCATACAATTAAAGCAAATTATCTTTGTTGCATTGATGCAGAAGCCAGGGAAAGGCTGCATGTGCTCATACTGGAAGCAGCTATTCAGTAAGCATTCACAGAATCACAGAATGCTTTGGGCTGGAAAGGACCTTAAAGATCATCTAGTTCCAACCCCCCTGACATCGGCAGAGACACCCTCCACAAGACCAGGTCACTCAAAGTCTCATCCAGCCTGGCCTTGAGCACTTCCATCCACAACTTCTTTGGGCAACCTATTCCAGTGTCTCACCATCCTCACAGTAAATAATTTCTTCCTTATACCTACCTCACCGTCTTTCAGTTTGAAGGCATTATATCTTGTCCTATAACTACATGCCCTTGTAAAAAGTCCCTCTCCAGCTCTCTTGGAGGACTCCTTTAAGTACTGGAAGGTTCTATAAGGTCTCCCCAGAGCCTTCTCTTCTCCAGGCTGAAGAACCCCAACCCTCTCAGCCTGTCTTCACAGGAGAGGTGCTTCAGCTCCTTGATCATCTTCATGGCCTTCTTCTGGACTCATTCCAACAGGTCCATGTCCTATTTTTGCTGCAAGCCCCAGAGCTGAACAGAGTACTCAAGGTGATGTCTCATTGGTCTTCCTTTAAAAATGAGGGTTAAGTTTCCCTTGTGTTCATTCTTTAACTTAGTGAGAGTTTAATTCTATCACAGGTTTTTAAACTTCTTTTAAAAACCAAAACATTTAGATTTTGCATTGCTGTGATATCCAACCCTCACAATAGATTAAATGAACTCAACAGAAAAAACCAGAGGAATATTAAAGCTGTTGCAAATGCCAAACTTCTGTCTGGAACGCACATTGGCATGCAGTAAATACAGATATGTACCCCAGATTTACAGATTCTGGGCATTAAGTCCAACACTGGACTTGTAGAATTTCTGCATGGAAAAAAGGATACCTGAATGCACAAATGCCCTAATGTTGATAGTTATGCACGCCATCATTTTCCTTTTTTTTCAACATACTAGTGCATGTGCAGCAGTTTTCTTTCAATTCATTATCTACCACGAAGCCATGGGCTTACAGTCAAGATGTAATCACATCCTCAATACAAAATGAAAAGAAAATCTTCTTGCCTCATTCAGATCCAATGCAAAACCCACACCAACTTCATAGAAAGCTGAACTGGGCTCAGCACATGCAGAGCTGTAGCACTGTGAGGCCCTAAGTGTACTAAGCTATGCTTGCTGCTCCCTCTGGACCCAATTCAGGTAGAATCCTATCTATGCAGTCACTTGGGATGAAGTTTTAATTCCCAGCAAGTGGCCTTTAAGCATTCTTGACCTGCATTAATAAAAAAAATAACCTGAACGTTGAGAGGTTTTTTTCAGCCTCACAAATTCCCCTATGTGGTTCACAGCTTGGCCTCCTGAACAGTTACTGCAGCACCACTGAAGCAAAAGAATTAAAGGAACAACCAACCAGGCAGAAAACTCATCAAGCTATCATTTGGCTAGAATGGTTCCCCATGCATTAAGCTAAGTATTTTGCCAAATTTATACCCTTCTCCTGTGTCCTTTTATCAGCAGAAATTAAAATGGTTTTATTTGCTTTGTCCAAACAGAATTTGAATGTGGATGTTATGCATCCACAAATGCAGATTTTTATCTGGGATAAAAAATTCATTTTATTCTGAATTTAAGAGGAATCTAGATGTAAGTAATATCTGTGGCACATTAAATAATGCATTAGTTACTGTTAACTCAGTTACAGTACTTTCTAGTGAAAACTAAAGGCTTTCTCATTTTAAAGCAAATAATTAACTTCAGGTTTTCTGAGTTTCTTGTCCAAAAACACCAGTTCATACTACAAAAAAAATCCTCTGCTTACAAGAAATGACTGTATCAACAGAAGGAGAGCAGAATCCTACCAGAACCACTAGATAAATAAAAGTGCCACTGATAAAGGGTTCCACTCATTTACGATAATAGCTGAGGAAGTTAGAATTTTAGAATTTCAACCACATATTAAGCCTCTTACAGTCCTCCAAACAGTATGACAAACCAGGTCTAGGCATCATGTGCGACACTACCGATGTTTAACCTGACAATCTACATAGATGGAAGAAAGCTCTGTATCTCAACTTTGCATTCTGGGCTCTTCTCTATTACTCTTCCTTCTGAAACAAAACTACTTCATTTTCCCTGAGCTCACCATGGCTTTCAGTTATCTGATTTTGCTATTTTGTCTGTCCTGCCCTCCTTTCCTACCCAATGCAAGTAACTGCTTTATAAATAAAAATGGACCTGAAATGATGTTTATTTAATAAGCAATCAGCCAGACTCACTTCCAGAAGCTTTCTGCAATCTGGTGACTTATTCAGGATATGAGTCCTGCAGTCCAGCCATGACCATTGTGGCTATAATAGGCAAAAAGTAAATTCATACAGCTCTTACCTGACCACGGTTGTGAAGACTTAAATCCAGTCCACATGTAAATTCAGTATGATGCTCAACTGTTTCCAGCAAAGGATTAGGCTTGGAAAAGTCCCAGAATCTATTGAGAAAATAAAAGAGGAAAAGGGAAAGAGAGAGAGGAAAAAAAAAATCAAACAAACCACAATTAAAGTAATTGAAAGGCCATTTCAAAAATATAATGCAAGATATTGACAAATCTGTTGCTGCCAGGATATTTAAAAAAGCAAACTCATCCACTTAGGAAACATAACAAATCGTATTCCTGCAAAGCCATCTGCTGATTTGCATAAATTAAAGCCCACTGGGCAAAGCCATCTTTGTCTCCTGTTGCAGAAACTGAGATCAAAGTTGGCACTGAGGAGCAGTCTTTGGGACACTATTAAAGCAGAGTAAAAAAATTTAGGCTAAAATACTCGTTATATTTCTTGAGGGCTGGGGAATTTTATCCCTGAAAGACATTAGCACAATTTATTATTTTTTCCTCAGTTTTTGGTGTCATTAACTATAGGGTCTTTATTTAAATGAAAATGACACATTCATTTAGAGATCTCAGTCATTCATATTGTGTTCTCGTAAAACAGAATTTAATATTGTAATTTAATAACAAATTTATACTACAGAGATCAGCTGCATTACACAGTTAATTCCACTAGTTCGTATTTTAAAAAGCAATTTTTGTTTCAAGCCTTGGTTGATAAAAAATACTTAGAAAATAGACATCTGAGGTGCTCTACTTCTTCCAGCTACTGTCCCATTAGACGTAATGTCCATGAATGCAATTAACAGCAAGGATAAGAGAGACGTAAGAGTGGATGGGACAACATATAGGTAAAAGACACCTCAGTCGTTAAAGAAAAGGATTCAGAATAGAACTTTCAGATAATAAAACACTGACAATACCCCATATGAAGCCACAAATCAAAGATTAGTTCCTCTTTCTTGTGTTGTATATACTGTTTTGAAAAGTCCATAGGCTGCACAGCACAGCGTATTTTGTGGGTTGGCAACTGTAATCAAATTTTCTACGGTTCAAATTTTCCCACGGGGGTCAATTATATGCTTTATTACTTCTGTAACAATTACAGAGGTCTCTTTGCCTTGCTCTTATTGGGGAAAGTGAAAATACTGAACAAGAACAGCTGATTATCAGACTAACTACACTGAAAGAACTCTAAGTTCAAAGCGATTCAGGTAAAATAGCAAACACTGGAGCCAGCAGGGTCAGTTTGTTTAATATGTAGATGTTATTTCCTTCATAAACAAGGAGACTGGTGTCAGCACAATGGCTTTGTCATAGCAACAACCCTCTTAATTTTTTCCTAGTACCTGAGATCTAAGATAAACAATTTATTTTGCAGGAGAGAGGAGCAAAAGACTACCTCAGCATTTTCATCCTCCCACATTTGTTCCTAAGAAGGTAAGGAAACAAGTCTTGTTGTTTCTAAGTAATAGTGGTAGCCTTCCTTACCATACTAGCTCTCTACTAACTCTTGAAAGACAGATGCTTATAACTGAAAACTAAGATTAAAGGAGTTAACTTCAGAGCTACATGAATAAAAACTTAGAAAAGACTTTCTGATCAATTTTAAAAATAGTAGGACAATGTGGTGTTTGTTCTATAAAGTCTTGTTGTAAAAGGTAGAAGCAGTTTAGAGTTTAAGAGTACTGCAACTCAGTTCAAGTACAACAGACTGTCTGGGAGCTTTGATTTTTTTTAATATAAGAATAATTACTAGCTAAAGCTCAAAAAAATGTTCAGTGTCAGGACTGAGAACCATTGATGACAAATTAATGATGGCTCTCATAACAACTTTGCAGTCCAAAGTGAGAAACACTGTCTATAGCACAGCTTCCAAAACCAGAATGGTGACAACAATATTATATTCACAGTCAACCTCCATCACATTCTGAAGACTGAAACAGCACTGCAAGTTTCCTAAGACACTGTTTACCCCAGCAGGATGGCTGTACAGGCATTCACAGCACAAGCTTTGCAAGTGCTTGCATTACTTGAATTGTGTCTACACAGCCAGCAGCATGAACTTAAAAAGTGGGCCAGACAACCACATAAGATTTTAGGGTCCATTACAGGTCTGTACAGCCTGTACAATCACAGGTGTGTCACTTGGACAGAACTGCTATTTTTACCCATATCATGTACGTTATAACTAGAAGTCACAACTTCAGTCACATCTGCACTGACTGAAGATACCCCAAAACCTATATGAGTGCAGTTTCTTAAAACGTTTTTACAATGGAATTGTTAAAAGTATACCTTTTCCCTCATTTTTTTAGTTTTTTTTTTAATTTATTTTACATGCACTTCACATGCAATTAATAAGCTGCACGTATATTCCAAGTGGACTGCTTATGCTAAGCAAGGCATTATGTGAAGAGAAAAAGCCTGGATTTTGTACTTCGTACCACCTGTTGCAGAATCATGAAGCCCTGTGCTCCCCTACCAAAATACTTTTAGAACCCAAACATTGTTTCTCCTACCTATCTCCTATCTTGTCCTCCTCCCCACTCTACCCTTACCTCCTGCCCCCGCATCTTCACCACTAGCTGGGAAAAAAGGCAGTGTCTGTACTAGGTAGTACGATGCATGTTGCTGCATGATGAGGAGCTAGCAGATTAGACAGGTGGTGAATTAATGCTACATCTCCTACCTTCCTTAAGGCAATACTTTGGATTATATCTTACTACAAGGATAATAAAGATAATTAACTGAAGTGAAAACCAGTTTTTTTATGAGTAGCCTTATTCCATAAGATTTGTGATCAAAGTTACTGAACTTGTACATGGTGATGAAGTGCTGGAGACAGTGGTTTACCTTAAAGTGTGTTGCAGAGATGATGTCCAGTATAGTACAACTTTTAACAAAAGCTGCCTTTTTGCCTTAGGGGCAAGCTTCTGTAAATACAATTCAAGATCTGGCCTGATACCAGCTTAATGAAGCTCTATAATTTATCAGATCTTCTGTGTAGATTTTGGTGAGCACTGTCTGTGTCTAATGCACCAAGATTTCTTTTTCACAGTGAAGAGTCCAAAAACACAAAACAGTTATTCCAGTAAAAGAGGACTCTGATGTTCTTCCAAACTGAATTTTGATAGAGATAATGTTTAAGAATATGCATGCAGACCTAAAGAAGTCCTGGAAATGTTACAGTCCTTTGTGCATTTCCTGGCATTTTAATGATTCGTTTGTGTTAAATCTGCTCTTTAATTGACATACATTTTTTCCTTACTCTTCCAAAGAGTAAGGAAATTGCATAGAAAAAATTCGTCTCAACAAAGCATTTACTGGAGAGGGGTTAAATTCAAACCATTATACCCAAGTACGTAAAAACTTTTTCTTAGCTCCCAGTATGAAGTTGGCATGTGAACTAGGTTTCTTTTCAGTAGCTTGACTACAGTGCACAGATGCAATCACTATACTGTTTGCAAAGGATAAAGCTAAGCATTGTTAACTTTGCTTTCAAGCTACTATTTTTTGCTTTTAGATATCCAGTTGTGATGATGTGCCAAACTAGCTGTTCTACCTGAAACAAACAAAACCCCTGCCTCTTACACGGTAGTTTGGTAATCTGATCTAAGATGTGCTGTTGTCTGGTCAAACTATAAAGCTTCAGTAACATTTAATATTATAGAGCTTACATAGTAGAATATGCTATATCCAGTTATCTACTATAAGTTAATTCTTGCAGATAATTCTGAACTTCAAACAGAAACATTAAAGAATATAAATGAGCAATCGCATAACTAATCTGCTATTAAAAGAACACTGAAATGAATCTGTTTCTAAAGGACTGCCACACCATGCTGTTCTATGAATTGCTATCAAATGGAACTAAAGAGTCACAGCCCTTCAGTAGGTTCAACAAGATCCAGAATTAATGCCATGTACTGGAATCCCTACTTCTCTTCTGTCTTTTATATATTTATCAAGGATTTTTATTCTTAAATTTAAATATATTTATATGTGTGCATATATTCATCTCCACACACCTACACGTGTGTGGTGTATATTCATGTGCATACATGGCAGGATGTGGGCGTGTATGTGCATGTATAGAGTGTATGGTGCATCCAGTCAAACTCTGAACATTCCTAAGTAAACTCTACTTCTTACAGTAAGCTACATTCTTTTCTGTAAATGACGGTACAGGATATGTGATAGAGGTACAATATATTCTTTAAAAGAGATGTTCCCAAAGTCTTATGGTAACAAGTTTCCTCCATTACGCAGAATAGTTCGCTTGTGACACGTTTTTCCAAAGACTTTCACCTGGCCTTCTCTGTTGTTTGTTCACTTATACCAAACCCAACAACTAATAGTTTTAGAAAACTGTTAAAAATCTTTATTTCATCTCTTCAACCCTGTCCTCTGTCCCTAGTCACAACAAGTAATTACTGAGAGAGCTAGGAGCTCTCTGTCTTTACTGACAGTTTCCACATATGAAAATGTCAGAGCTAAATTGCACTAGGTTTCAGTACCACATGAATTGCGTTAGAGCCAAACCTGAAGGATAGACAGTTGCTGTCAAAAACAGAAGAGCATGACAACACAATCAAGTCACTTCAATGCATCAGCATGCTGATTATTTGTCTTATTGCTCAGACAAGGCCACTGCAAGAAATCAATAACCACTTTTCATCTTAGTCCTAGAAGTCTTTTGAGAAACAATACACTGCAAACCAGCTGGCAGAGCATCAGTAAAGCATGTTAAGTAAGATCGCATAAATAATCTTCCACAGACCACTAGTCTATGAGAAATGCATTTGAAACACAAACAAAATGAAGCATTTTATGTAAGACAGAATGTGGGTACAGCGGTCTAGACAGTTATATGCATATGTACATCACAGTACTTACACTGTCAGGCCCCTAGCAGCGACTACATGCCAGTGGGTATCACTGGTAAGGGACTACCTTATTACAGTAAGCAAAATAATAACAATTAACATAAAGAAATGTTCTCAAGCACTTAAGTCCTTTAGTGAAAAAATGGCATGCCTGTGGGGGGCAGGCGTATTATATAATCTCACCATCCAGTTCTAATCTACAACAAAAAGGCATAATTTCTGAAAGGAATAAGCCCATGTAGGGACCAAAAATTTAAGGGAGTAACTGGACTGGGAAACAGACAGATTTGCCATTATCACCACCTTGCCTTCCTTGCCTCTCTTTCTTGAGGAGTCTTTATTCATTGCAGCACTCCAGTCTTGTGAGTGGTTCCACCATCTCTTTATAATCCCCAAGAGGCCACACCTCTGCTGCCACACATGGACTTCTAATTCCCCATTTCTCTCCTTTGCTGTACTCAAGTGTAAGGTCACTTTCACAGGTCACAAAACACAAAATGCAAAATCCTCTCTGATCCCCATGCTTTCATTCTCTTCAGATTATAGTCACTCTGCCCTGATACTCGCCCTGAGTCTGACACCTTCCCTGACTGAGCCTGGTGTTGCTCATCCACTTCCAGGGCACTAAATCTCTAGCTCCAATGTGTGTTGCCAGATGTCTCAGATCTCCAGCTTTTCCCATAAAGAGAATCTTTACCCTTATTCTCTACTGCTTGAAACGTAGTCTCTAACTGTCTCTCCTCCTTCCTTGGACTGTGGGATTTGGGCTCTCACCTCTCAGGGATATCTGTAAAGACCTGTCAATCTTGCATTCACGATCCTTGATGGTGTACAGACTGCTCATCTCCTCCTGCAACTCCTTCCCCTCAGTACCTCAAAGAGAATACATCTTCCACAGGTGACACCACCATCACCCTCAGCCTCAGGAAGAGGCATCAGGCATTCCCCGCAGCTAAGACCTAGAAGGTAACATCCTCTTTAGTGCTACTGAGGTTGCCAAGGACAGCTGCTCCAGTAACTATGTCCCTGTGAAATCTCACCATTGTCACTGTACAATGTCCAGCAGTACCTCACCATCTATAGCAGAGCTTCAGAGCCCCTTTGAACCCCTGCATGCTTCTGTTAGCTGCATTCTGGGAGCTGGGAGCTTCAAAGAAAACAGAGTGTTCCAGCTCTCCCAGTAGAACTTTTGAAAATAAACAGAATTCCTACAATGCTTACAAGGCTAAGTTCATGATGTAACTTTAAATATGGCACAAGACTGTACAGATTTATGATTTAGAAACATGTACAAGCACTGAGAATTAGCAAGATTTCCCTTTGGAAACAGAACCTTTCTATGTCTGGTGTCAGACCACTCAGAACACAACCAGAAGTGACATCAATTGCTATGATTTGGACAAGTGGGATAACTTTGCAGTCATTTTTGGAGGCAAGAGGGCTTCTCCCATTTCTAAATGGGAGTCCATGTTAGAAATATACATTCAGTCCATGTTAGAAAATTAAAATATAGATCAAAGAATGTGACTGAGATATTCAGGAATGTACTTCACAGTTTATTGACTTATGAGAGTGTTTATCTTAGAGAAATCCCACTATCATATTACACTTCTTCAGGTCTTTTAATCAGCTTTAAAATTCTCAGCAGTATCAGATATACTGGGCAGCCAGGGGAACTCGCAGAAGTTCCAGTGCATTTTCAACATAGTTTATAAAACATCTGATGGCAACATTAACTGCACTTCAGTATGTCCTCTCTAGAACTGTTTTCTATCGCAAGCCACATTAAAATAGATTATCTTTCTATTTTTATCCAATTAAAAATAAAGTACTGTACCTTACAGTAAAATCATAGGAGCAAGAGGCCAATAAGGTTGCATGGAATGGTGAAAACTGCAAGAAAACAAATCAACTTTTAAAGTAAAAACATTGTGAATATATACAGACTTACTATAAGTAGAAAGTTATCAAAGTTCAACTATATAAATGGTCTTGGTAGGTATCACATCGTGCTGCAACAAAACAGACTACATCAACAGATTTATCTACCATCCTTCTAATAACAAGAAACCATAGAATCGTAGAATTAATAATCACAAGGAATGCTCTGTGGGATCCTGGTTTGTTTTGATTTCATTACAGCCGTGCCAAACAACTCTGCTGCAAATTTAACAAGTTCTAGAACAGTCATATAAACAGTTACTAAATTCTGCTTTTGGCTGAGCATCATCTCATTATAAAAATCAAGTTTCAAAACACCTATGTGACCAGTTAATTATTTTCAGAGAGACAAAATCCTGTGCCCTACTGCAGAGAACATAAGACAGATTATTGTCATCAATTCTATATCCTAAAATTTTGAAATTGTTTATAGAAATGGGAAAATTGGAGATGAGTGGAAAAACTGAAGGCAGTATAAGGTCACTTCATGATTTCCCTCTCTTCTATGGGGCATTTTACAGGGCACACCCTTTGACAGACTCCTGCACACTGGTCTAAGAACAGTAGCAATTATGGAAAAATTTTTCACTTCAGCTCCAGCTTTTCACTAACTCTCAGTTTCCAACTATTTTAAGGTCTGTATTTCTCAACAGGAAATACACAAGCCACTGACATAACTTGAGTTTGAAATGCAGGTCCCCCACATCATGGATCATAGGTAAGTCTACCTGCAAGATTTATAATATTATTCATAGCAACTACAAAGTCAAAAGTTAAGTCTGGGCTATTGCCACAACTGCCCAAGTTGCCAAGAAAGCAGTGTATGTTAATGGCTGCTGAACTCTGCTGAAATTCCCTTTACTGTAGCAGAACTGAGGGATGTGCATGATTGAACTTTAACCTCCCATTTTTCTGGAGGAAAAAAAAATCAAAACAAAACATCTTTTTCTTCTGCACCTAACAAAAACAAATAATAAAGGGGAAGAAGTGTGATGGGCAACAAAAACCAACGGTACACTTTTCATAAACCCCCTTTGCCTCTTTGTCCACATAGTTTCAGATGAAGCAAAAACATCTTGTTAAAGCTTTGTCATTAACTTTAAGTACCCTAGAAGCTTATCTAAGATGCAAAATACGTAGCAGAGCACTACACGCATAAGTTGAAAGAATATGCATAATGTCTTTCTGCTACAAGAGAAGACAGTATTTTAAAATTCTGTTCCATTTAACTGTGATACTACAATTTTATCATCTGAACAGTTGTATATAGACAGAAGACGCCAGCATATCATCTATCCTGACCTTGAACAGATCATTTATCCAAATATCTTTTTAGGTAAACTCAAAAACCATAACTAGGTGTCAGTGTAAGATACCGAAGCCAGTTAAGATGTGAGAGTCAAATGCACCAATATCAATGCCTCCTGAAAAGGGCTCCAAATGATGTCAGTGTCCTGATAAGGCCCTGTACCGCACTGAAAGATCACAAGAAATCTGCAGGAATCCCAACAGTATCATGTCGGGTAGAATTCTTTGCCAGCCTCAGATCTGAAAACCCCTGAACAAGTGAACAGAACACAAAGGACAGACAACTGAAGAGTTTGATTTCATGGTTGGTTTAAGCTAATTTAAGAGTTCACTGCTGCCAAGACTCGTGGCTTCCATTTTCCTTTCCACTTCAGGCTGTGTGCTCCTGCCCTCTTCCTTTGTGTCAAGGTTTGCAATTTGTGTGGCTGAGCAATAAACTGAGACAGCTTAGTGATGCAGACAGAAACTAGTCACTTTTAGGGACAGGATTTTCAGTCAGAGCCATCAGATGAGCCAGCCTGCTGCACAGCTTTATAATTGCTAGTGTCAGCACAATGCAGGGGAAGGGATATCAGTAGGGAGAGCTGCCTCTATTTAGGCGGTATCCAGGTCTCTCTCTGCACCACCTCTAAGTGCTGGCCCACATTCTCACATGTTATGTCCACAAGGACCATGTCTACCTTGAAATGAAAGCAATGAAAGCCTCCTAAGATGGAACAGAAGTCATGTACTCTCACATACCTCTCTGCTGCACATGGATGCATGTTCAACCTCTCCACCATTGCCTTAAAACCACTTGGTGGCTTAGATCTCAGAGGATGGTGCACAGAAAGATATACTGGTGACCAACTTTTAATAAAAATTTCAAGCCATTTTAAGAAAACAAGGTGCATGATGGGCCATAAAATGGAATAAGACAGCATAAGAATATATAAGATCCCCTACCTCGTGAGGTTGACAATCTTTGAGCACAGTGCTTGATGTTTACATAGCATTTTCAGTATTTTAGTTTATACTTACCTCTGGTCCTGTCACCAAATACCACTGGGAACAGTCAGGCTTTGTCTTCTCTATTTCCCCCAATCATTCATACACAGTGGTAAGATTCTCCTAAGCCTTGCCTTCTTCACACTAAAAAAATCTCAGCTCTCTCAGCTTTTCCTGGTAGGACACAGGTTTTAGTCTCTTAATCTTCTTTATGGCCCTTTGCTGAATTTATTCCAGCATGTCTATGTCGCTCTCCCTTTTACTGGGAATCCCAAAACTAGACCCAGCACTCCATACATAGTCTCACTGGTGTGGTGAGTAGCAGGGAAGGATCACTTCCCCCAACCTGCTGGCAGTACTCTTCCTAATCCAGCTCAGGATGAAAGAAAGCAGAAAAATTAGAGGTGCTATCCCTGCCTAGCTCTTCCAGTATCTATTTATCAACTAGCTGCTATCCATGAACCCGATGACACTGCCTGCCTATGCAGCCTCTTGTGCAGAGAGCTAATTCAACAAGTCTACTGCCGGATGTGTAAGAGAAGTACTCCCATGTGTTTGTAAACACATTTCAAAAGTTTCATTGTATCCTTTAGTTCTATTATCACAGGTTAGGGTGAATAACAATTCTGCATTCAATTTCTCCATTTTATCATGAAGACAATGTGCTGTGAATCCCTTAGTGGCAGAGTTGTTTTTAAAAGATGCCACTAACTGTCAGAGAGTAAGAATATGACAGTCTGTATTGATTCATTTGTCTTAATGGCTGTGAAATTCGAGTTGCAAAATTATCTTGTTTAAAAAACAAGAAGAAATAAACAAACTCAAACAGCACTGCTAACTGTTCTTCTGCTATGAAGAACCTTTCACAGAGCCAGATAAGAGTGTGGTCATGCAGGCATTAAATTAGAAAAAAAGACTGAGCATCAACCACCAGTTGGGATAGCAGGCTGTGGTAGCCGGGATAAGGAGAGGCAGGAGTTTCTCAAGTTGTCTGACCATGAACAGGATTTATGATACAGAATGACTACCTGTGTCATATCCTTTTCTGACAAATTACAAACTAAGCACAGTAACTTCTAAAGTTCTTAGAAACATATTAAAGATTCAAAGGCCATGTGAAGCAAAATACTTCTTTTCCAGTTCAGACTTCCTAGAAAATGTTAATACCTGTTCCAGAAAGGCTTTAAAAGAATCAGGTGTTATCTCCCTTTTCGTGAGACTTTGATATTGGTGCATTTGACTCTCACATTCTTAGCTGGCTTCAGTATCTTACACGGAAACATAGGTGTAGTTTTTGAGTTTACCTAAAAAGATATTTGGATACATATTTTCATATAATATTAAAAAAAAGCCCTTGTGCATCAGAATAAATTCCTGTTGGTGGGTGATCTAGTAGAACACAGATCCAATATAGTCATCTGTAGCCTTTCATGCTAGAGTCTCAAAATCTCTTACTAATATTTTCTTTGTATACAGAAAAATACATATTCAGAACAAGTTCTATATAGTGTCTTCTGTGAATATTGACCCTTTGTGTGGAAAGACAAAGGCACAGCATCATTTAAAAATGAGAAAGGGAAAGTATTTTCTCTGTCTCCAGTTTCTCATATAACTTAGCTGAAGTAAACCTCCTAGCCCTCTCTCAAGCTCTCTAACACTCCTTGTGGAAATATATTGACTTTGAAGATGTCATTTACTTTGAAATCCCGGCAATCTCCTAAACATCATAATGTTTTACAGTGCTAAACTGAAAGTTTTCAAGAACAGTCACTGTAACATCTGAAATCCTGGTTTTTTCCTAGTTATTAGATAACATAAAATATCACAGCTTTCCAGAAAAACTTGGTTAACAATTCAGTGATGGTCAATTGGAAATAAAATACAACTTACTTTTACTCTTCTGATAGCATAGGTATGACCCAGCAAGACGAACACTGGTTGCCGGATGTTCCGCAAATCCCAGCCTTTTAAGCTACAGTCAACTGCACCAGTCACCAGCAAGTTCTGATGATTTGATAAAACACAGATATACCAGGACAATTTAATTACTAGATGGCAGTGATGCATATGTTGGCTACAAAAGTTAGATAAATCAAACAATACAGATGAATAAATCATATTTATGATAAATGAGGTCAGGTCTCCAGTGTGTACAATCAAGACCATAGAGAAATACAAACTGTTTCTCCACTACAGGCTATTCTGTCCACTATACGAAAGAATAAGCAAAATCTCTGACCTACTTGGGCTGTCTATCCATTGGAACAAAGTTCTTCTGGAGATGTAATAGTGAATGAGAGCAACAAAGCACCTAGACATATTTTTATAAAGAGAAGATGTAATATTGTTGCAGCAGAAACACCTGCTATTTAATGAGAGTGGTTCAATTAGGAAAACAGTGGGATGAACAGTTCTATACCTCATCATATTTGCACCAGTCACAGCTCAAGATCTCAGCCTGGTGGGCTGGTATCACAAGTTTGACTCCTGGGGCTTTCACATCCCAAATTCTTAAAGTCTGATCACCTGAAATATAGAGAAATTGATTCAGTGTTGTTGCATCAGTTATGGGATACAGTTAATCCACTAGTACTTAGTAGACAACTGTTTCTTAGCTGCATGAAATACAAATGACTATATGCGGACACTCATGCCAAATAAAGCAAGCACATTACAGATACAGAAGTCAGAGTGATGCAAAAAAGGTATCTGAACTTACTACTCTCTTTCATTAGAAAAAAACACCACAACTTCACTTTATTACTAACACTTCCATTATTTTCGAAACTCTGATTTGATTAAAAGAAGATGTGTTATAATACTTGAATAACATTTAATCAAACTAGGAGCTTAAGGTCCATTTAGAAATGGACTTAAAAGATCAGAATCACAAAAAAAACTTTACTTGCAAGCCAGCTGAGAAGTACCACCTAGTCACGTGCTTTTGGCACAAAGAAAAGTGAACTGTATCTGAAATATCAAGATTCTTTCAATAAAAGGAAAATTCAAGATGTATCACCTGTACTCGTCATGTACAAAGCCTGCAGTTACTCTAATTTATTGAAATATTGGAATATAAAATCATTCTACTGTAACTATCACAGATATGAAATATGAAAGGCAACATGTGCTTTAACCTTGGAGCACATACACACACCTGCATACACACACACAGGTCTTCAGAGAGCAATGAAAGGAGTCCAGCTTAACTTAAGAGCTATGAGTCATCTGAGCCTCTCTCTTTACCTCCAGCCATAAATGGTCTTCTACCCCTAAAGATCTTTAGAATTCTTATAAATTTGGTTCCTAATGGCTTGTAAAGACATAGAAAGCTGCATCAGCTGACAACTATCCTTTTCAATTTTTTAAATTGGGGGTCTCTCCTTAGCCCTGAATATTTAGCTTTGTATCAGCAAAAATGGATTTTCTAGCTCATTAGTTTACAGAGAGACAAAATTAATTAGAATTTATGATTGTGCCTATGTTTATTTAAGAGAGAAATTATATCACTGAAGGCTGTATCCAAACACCCGTGATTTCTACAGGAACCATGTATCAATACTATCTAAATTAAAAAAACCCACTGTTTTACCTTGCTACTGAGGAAATTATTGGTATTTCCTTATTGGAAACACTTCCAGAAACTTTCAAATTTATTATGATCAGTAATTAATATTTTCATGCTGTTTACATCCAAATATTTTGATGGTTTTAGTGCCCTGTTGGTCACTGGCCTTAGAATATACAGCTGGGCACAAAAAATCATAGTTTTTTTCAAAAAATCATCCCTAGAACCACAACAGTAATACATCTATTGCCTGAACTACTAGGCCCTGCAGACTTCACAAAAACACATAAAACATTTGGAAAATTCGAAAAAAAAAATGAAGGTGGAAAGAGCTTGGTTCACTACATGTCACAAGACTGGTCTGACTGTTGTACTGTACAGATCACGGAGAGCTTTGCTCTGGTGGTTGGTTGGCTTGTCCTCAGATCTCATGATTGTGAGAGATACTGTACCATTGGTGGATAAATTCCCCGTCTGCAAGGTGGGAACAATATGTAATTTCTCCCTGTTTTCATTGCCCTTGCCTACTGTCAGGAGGAAGACTGCTGCTCAGGACATGTACAGCACTCCTGACAGTGACATCCTGCAGTCACAGTTGAAGCCTCAAACATCACTACAGTGCTTACAAAAACAGGGCAACATATGGAGGGGAAGAAACATGGACAGCAGGATCTTGGCAAAAAAAGGTAGTATGCCCATCCACTCACCATTAGTCTTGCTAATCTGCTTGCCTGCAGAAGACAGATTTCAGTTTGAGTCTTAAGTCTTTCTGAGATATTATTATGGGCTTCTTAAAAAGCTTTTATTTTAATTTCATCAGATAACATATATTTGAAGGGGAAACACATATTTCACTGCAGACAGGATCATTTTTTCCAAGCAAATAAATATATAAATCCAGGTGAACTAGAATGAACTGCTACAGAGATGCAGCATTATGAGGGCCAAAAACATTTGAAAAAGTAGGCTATTCAGCCAATAACAATTTTGACACTAAATATACAATTGTTCCAATTATTTCTTTTTTAACAGAAAATGCTGATGTATGAGAAAAATAAAAAAGAGAGTTATTTTCCTTTTTTTAAACTTTCTTTGAAAATGCTAGACTTAGCTGTTATTAATTCTGACTGGCACTATCTGGGAAATGTTTTTAATGGAGTAACACAACATGCAAGTGAACCTTTTTGTGAATGGAAAAGAATGAATTAAAGCCAAAGGCAAATCCAAATTTTCCTTTTAAGTGGAAACATCAGATTACTTTAAAAAAACCCTAACACTAACAAACTTTTTTTTTACCTCAAACATATTTCCATTACCTCACTCTCTCTCTCTATATATATTTTTACATTTAATTTCAACAAAAGCTGCTCTTAAAAATTTTACCATTTCCACGATTCCTTCAGATCTGGATTACTAAGGATGTATTTCTTCCATATGGTAAAGCAAAAGTAGAATAATAATAATAGAAAGTGCAAGTAAAGCACACCTAGTACAATCATATTCACTAACAGCCACTTCCAGTTCACATCCAAAGTAAGCAACCACAAAAGTAGCCAACATTTCCCCCCACAAAATATTTCTATTTTTGTAATAAGCAATTTCACTATGGCAACAGATTTTTGCTGGTCTGTTAGATAATTATGATTCCAGAATTGTTTGTCTATTGTACAGGCTTCTTTCTTTCTAATGAATATTTGTGAAATCTTGGATGAATCAATAAAACTACACAATATACACTCATCTATTCAAAATTTTCCAAAGAGATGCTAATCTACAAGCATATCATCCTTATACATAGGATAAAGACTGCTAATGTGAATGACAATGTATAATAGTGAAAAGATAAAAGTTTATTTCGGATTTAAATTTTATGTAGGTTTTATACCAGCTTTTTTACTCACAGATATATTTTACCCAAATCCATAAATCACCATCTCCTAAGTCCTGTGAGAACAACCAGCTAAGCAGTCATTGCCAGACAGTGAAGAAGTACAATATTAACTATAAAAAATAGCTAGGTATTTGGGAGGTTAGTAAAACCCCAAGAAACCTTAAACACTATCTGAATGGAAAAAGGATTCTAACTAGGACAGGTACAATGTTTTTGAGGAACTAAAGTACTGCTAGCTCAAAGTTTTACTTAAAAAAAAATGAATCTGGGTTTTGGGTTTGTTTGGGGGGGTTCTACGTTCTGAAGCAAGAAATCTGATCTTCTTACACTGTTCTCTCATCAAGGAAAAAAAACTACCAACAAATAATATATCTTTAATTCACTGTAGGAAAACAATTTAGCATAAAGGACACAAGTACTGGCATATATTGTTTGGGTTGAAAGGGACCTTAAAGATCATCTAGTTCCAACCCCCCCTGCCATGAGCAGGGACACCTCTCACTAGATGAGGTTGATCAGAGCCTCATCCAACTTGGCCTTGAACACCTTCAGTGATGGGGCAAACACAACTTCTCTGGGCAACCTGTGTCAGTGCCTCATCATCCTCACAGGAAAGAATTTTCTTCTAACACCTAATCTAAACCTACTCGCAGTTTGAAGCCAGTACCCTTTGTCCTGTCACTACGTGCCCTTGTAAAAAACCCAAAAAAATCTTAATTAAAGTAAGTACTTCTGCAGTGCCATTGAACAACTACAAGTTAACAGCACCTGCTTACTTGTCTGTGTTTTTAAATACTAAACCAGATTAAATTATTTAGTCCAAATCAAATAGAAAATCTGTGGGAGAATTAAAAGCAGAACCCAAATCTCATGACTCTCAGAAACAACCTTTTTATGTATGCTAAAGTGATAGTGCTGATCATTTCTATCATAGATAATTGTCTTGGTTTTGGCTGAAATAGAGGTATTTTTCTTCCTAGTAGCTGATATAGAGCTGTGCTTTGGATTTAAGACAAGATAGTGTTGATAACACACTGATGTAAGTCAAGGACTTCTCAGCTCCTCAGAATGCCTTGCCAGCAACGAGGCTGGGAGTCACAGTCAGAATATCTGACCACAGCTGATCACAGGGTATCACATAACATATGGCATCATGCTCAGCATATAAAGTTGGGGGAAGAAGAAGGAAGAGGGAGATGTTTGGAGTGATGGCATTTGTCTTCCCAAGCAATCATCATGCCTGATGGAACCCTGCTTTACTAGAAATGCTTAAACACCTGTCCACCCACGGGAAGTGGTAAATGAATTCCTTGTTTTGCTTTGTTTGCATGCACAAGTTTTGCTTTGCCTATTGAAGTATCTTTAGCTCAACCCACAAATTTTCTACCTTTTACCCTTCTGATTCTCTCTCCCATCCCACCATGGGGGAATGAGCAAGCAGCTGTGTGGTACTGAGCTGCCAACTGGGGTTAAAGCTATACAACAACATAAGCAAACCTAGAACAGGACTAATAAAGCTCATGGGATTCCACACAAAGAGGCAGAAACAGAGTGACACAAATAGCAGCTTTACTTAAATCATCCAGGAGTACTACCAAATGCACAAAATCTATTTCCATCTTACACAGCAAGTAAATGTAACTACCAGTGGAAACATACTTTTCAACTGATCATTGAAAATGCTGTCAAGCTAAAAATCAAAAGAGTTTTAAGTTATTTCAGAGAAGAGCCCAACTGTTTTAAGGAATCTTTTCCTTAAAACAGTAGATTAAAAAAAAGAAAATATTAGTAAAACCTTTATTTCAGTGTTTTCCAAGATGATTAAACTTAAATCTTGGGAAAAAAATTTATTTCAAAATTTACCAAAACTATGACATTATTAAACCATTCTTCATCAAATGGCAATATTGGCTAGATACTTAACTGTAGTTTAAATGATCCAAAACAAATTAATTTACTGTAAAAAACTTACTGCATATTTCTTCTCAACACTAAACAATTTTAGAATATGAGATTCTAATATAAAATATATAACCTGAAAGTGTTTTATATTATAGCATGTACTAT